CCACAAAACTTATCTAAAATATTATGTAAATCAAGAATATCTTTTGAAAGTTGACCAGCGCTATCAGAATCTTGATATCCTAAATGAAAACTTGTAGCATCGCCTAAAGCAGATTGATATTTGGTAGCTTCTTTCTTTAAATCTTCGTTAGTTTTTGTTAAATCGTTTATTAATTTTAAATTCGTTGACAAACGCTTATCATTATTTTTGAACTTTGATTCAAGAGTTCGATATTCATTTCCAAGATTTTGGTATTTTCTTTGAAGGTTGTCATACTCCGTTTTAAGAGTTTGATGATTTGTTACGAAAGTTTGACATTTTGTATCAAGTTTTTGATAATTGGTTTGGAGGGTTTGATGACTTGATTCAAGAGTTTGATTACGTATTTGAAGATTTTTACAAATTTCTTCAAAATTTTGAGCCTTTTGAAGTTCTTGATTAATGTTAATTTCAGGCTTTTTATGAATATTGTCGAGATTTTGAAATTTGTGCCTTTCGGAATTGTTTGTTGTTTTTTTTGACTTATTAGGCTTACCATCAAAAATATTAAAATTATTCCACATAGAATTCTTCGACTCTTCTAATTCTTTGTTTTGTAATTCATTGTTTTGTCTTTCTAATTCAATGTATTTTTCTTGTAATGCGCTATAATTCCTTTTCAGTTCTTCTATTTGATCTAAATGTAATTTAATGGACTCATTATTTTTACTTTCTAAATCACAAATATTACTCTGTAATTCTTCGCACTTTTTTTCAAGTTCTATGCATTTATTTTCTAATGCATCTGATTGCTCAGAATTATTATTATTCATATGATTATCATCAATCATGGGGGAATGCATTATTAGAAAACCTGATCTTTGATATTTTAAGAGAAATTCATTGTAAATTTCTTTACTAATTATACATTTATTACCAAAATCAAGACATAATTTTACAATCGAATCGTGCACGGGTTTTTGCAGTAAACCTTGTTTGTGTTGCAAAATTTGTTGATGTCCAATTAAGTATTCACGATATTCTCGTATGTTAGATTGAAACTGGTTTAAGCTTTCTACCACAATTTGTTGATGTTGAATATGTTTGTAATCTGACGTTAAAAAATTTTGGTACTCTGTTGTGAACCGTTGAAGTGAATCTAAAAGATATATCTGTCTTTGTAAGAGTTCTTGGCGATTAGGTAGAGGCGAATATTGTAAGTGTTGTTGTTGGAACTGTTTTACGTATTGTTGCAATTGTTGTGACAACCCATATAACTGACTTAATTGTTGTACCTCCGTTAATTGATTTTGAAATGACGAAGGTCGTTGTTCTTGTGCCTGTAAAAATCCCTGCTCATGTTGTAATAATAGTTTTTGACTTTCTAGAGGCTCTTTCAAATTTACAATGAACCTTTCCAGTAACGAATTCAATTCCGGACCCAATTGTAAACCTTTTAAAAAATCCGACAGTGTTATGAGCTGGTTCGTAAAAGCATGATGCTTTTCAAAAGATTGCTGTGTGAAGATTTCGTGTTCTAAATCGATTTGCATATTTGCCATATTTAATGTAAATAAATTAATAACTTTTTAAAAATTCTTTTTTTTTTTTTATATAATATATATATTTTTTCTCGAAGCCTAAAAAAGCTTTTTAAACAAAGGTTGGTCTCCCATATCACTTCAAAATTTTATGTTACATGAACGTGAGCCACAACTTCGCTATTATTGATATTGACATATTAAGTATCAATTACCATTTTCTTATTGCAGATTGCAAATCTGGGAAAAGCGACAAAAAACTATAATTAGTTATAATGATTTGACAGTTTAGATATTGAGATTCTGCAGTTTGTTATACAATTTTCCAGTTTTAGAGTAGAATAAAAAATCCGAGTCTAAATTCGTCTTCACTGATTTTATTTGCTGAGGGAAGGATTTAGAGACTCCGGTTCGATGCAATGTAGTTCATTGCTTTATAGTTTACTTTGTTTTATAATTTACTTCATAGTCACAAAGCGCCAAACGTTATTTTAATGTCATGTTTTGTTATGTACTCTTAAAACCGATTTTTAAAATAAAACATGGAGTATTGCTTACTATTTATTCATTTATGGTAGTAGTTTAAGATTTTAAGACCTACTGAACTCTGAGGTGTGCAACTCGATATTTGATAAGGGTCCTTTTAATCGATACGCTGATAACTCATATGATGCCATTTAAATTTAAGAGCATAATGTCTTGATCTCAATAAAGTTGCATAATAAAATCATAGTACAATGTTAATCTCTTTGTTCTTGGCATTCGATTCTTTATTCCGCCTTCGTTTAAGTATATACTTATCATTCATAACGCATATCTTATGATTACGCCAGAGCTAAATTAGGCATCAATAAAATCGTCTTCGTTTAAGTAACTACTTATTATTTCATAACGCATAACTTACAGTTGCGCCCGGAGTTTACGTTTTACTTTCAAATTCAACCCAATACAAAAAAGAACCTCAATTAAATTTCTAAATAGAACGATTATATCAGTTTGTAATTAACTTGCGCCATTTATTGGGGTTTCTGATGATAAATATAGTGACCTAGAAATTATTTTTTTTTTATCTTGGTAACTTTAAAGAGTGCATTAAAGCACATGTTTTTACTGTGTTTTTACAAACGCTAATTATCACAATGGGCGATAAAAAACATCTAACCTCATGCATATTATCTTAAAGGATCGAACTTAAAATCTCATTTACTACAAATCTATAATTACTATCTTTAGAAAAAATAAAGGGAAGATTAAGAAATCGATTAATCTAAAAAAAGAAGTATGCATGCTGTAGACCGAATAAAAACAATTGATCCGCAGCAACATATAGCTGACCGGACTAGAATACCGAAATATCTACGTAAGTACGTACGTACGTATTGTAAATACGTATATAAATATCCGATTCAATAGCATTTTTAATTCGGCATATGTTGTTCATAAAAGAATTTTTCTAGTACAATAACTCCAATTATTATGGAAGCTTTTGCCTATGAACCTGTTAGCGAAGATATACGTGTAGTTGTTGGTGTAGGTGAGGATATATACAATATTGGTCTAATTAAAACTTTTTGAATGATACACTTTCTAAAATGATTTAAAAAATAAAAAATAAATAAATTAGACTTTGGCACTACTTATTCAGGTCAGTAAACCTTTAATCGCTAAATTTCGTTTCAACATTTTTACTAATGTCAATTATTCCAATTTATTAGGATTTGCTTACACTTATGTCCAAGAAAATAAGGAGAAAATTGAAATTGTAGTTAATGATGAATGGGGAAATTTCAAAAGTCCTAATAAAACCAATACTGCATTGCAATATGACGAAACGTATAGAGTTGTTGTTAATTGGGGTGCTGGTGCATTAAGTTCCGAACCTACAAAACGAAGAAGATTCAACTTACCAAAACCAATAGAATATTTTAAATTTTATTTGGGTGATGATGTTCCTGACAGTAAAAAACCAAGATTACCACAAGAAATTACTTTTGAAAAGGCTATATCTGATTTTCTCCGTGAAATGGGCAAGTAATTATAAAAGTAAATCTGTGAATATTAAATATATACATATATATTAAAAATTTACTTCAACTTATATTTAGGCAAGGTATGATGATAAAATGATATTATATTATGTTATAGTATATTATATTCAAATTTTACAAACCCTATTGTTAAATGATAGACTATGAAAGAAAAAATAGAAAATCATTGGCCTGGAATAGATTTTCATAAACATGCGCTACTTGTTTTTTCTGTGCCAGCTGGTAATTATCATACGACAGGGTGAAACCCGCGCTGTGAATTAGTAAAATCCGCTACGTAGATCACATGAGGGTGAAATTCGCTTTTGCATAATAAAAAACATTGCTAAACGCGGATTTCACCCTAACGTGATCTATGTAGTGGATTTTACTATCATTTTTTAAATAAATGCATAAATTCACGTGACATATACCTCAAATAATATTAATTCGTTATTTAAGAATTCAACGAAAATGTTAGAATAATTATGAGAAGATGCATACATAAGGCTGGCTTAATTAGAACTCTTGGCACGTTAAACCTTCAATTCACCACTGAACGTATGAATCTTTTTTTTTTTTATAACATTTTCATCAGACATTATAATTTATAGTCATCTAAATTCTTAGCGGAAGCCGCGTCAGTATATTGCATAAATAAATTGAAAGAGCTCGATATGAAGGAAGGAGGTAATTTGTTATCAAGGTGAATTTATAAAATTAAGCTAAACTTTGTCACCAATCCAAGTATTTTTTGATCACAAATTTGGGCATTTCATAAATTCGTCGCAGTGTTAAATGTTTTAGTTTGAATGCTTTTTTATTTATAGCTATTAATATATTGCTATATGTTTTATATATTTAATTTAGTAACTTATTTGGTTGTTGATTGTGGCGGTGGAACCGTAGATTTAACAGTAAGAAGATTATTACCAGGCGGTCGAATAGCAGAAACAACTGAACGTACAGGTGATTTTTGTGGTGGTACTTATGTTGATGACGAGTTCATCAAATTTCTTGAGGAGAAAGCTGGTAAATCTGCTGTAAAAATATTAAAGGAGAAGCATTACGATCAAGTTAATTATATGGTGCATAAATTTTTTTGCCCTGAGATTAAACTTCCTTTCAGTGGTAAAAAGGATGGTTTTAAAATTATTGAATTTGACATTGAAAAAAAATGTCCTGCACTTATCCAATATATAACCGGTTTGGAAAGAGACAATTTGGAAGATGATGAATGGGTTATTGATCTTGATTTTGATACTGTGAAATCCTTTTTTGATCCGGTAATTAGAAGGATTTTAAGATTGATCGCTTTACAATTATCGAAATGTCCGGATTGCTCTGTGCTATTTTTGGTTGGAGGCTTTGGTGAATCAAGGTACCTCCAACATAGAATTAAAGAAGAATTTGGAAATCAAGTAAAAATAGCAAGTATGTTTTATTTTTTTTTTAATTTTGTTAAAAAATCCTTGTGTATTTATCGTTATGATAAAATATTTATACAGCATGTATTTATATTTTTATTTGCCACAGTTCCACCTAACCCATCGACTGCAATTTTGAGAGGTGCATGTGAATATGGACTTGATACGAAAACCGTAGCTACAAGAGTATTAAAATGGTCTTATGGTGTTATGGTTTCTAAACTTTGGGTAAATATCATCAGCCGAAAATTATAATAGTGAGATGTTAACCAAATCAATTTTTTTAAAATATGTATTATTAGGAAGTCAGTGATCCAGCATCTCGTATGGATTCTAATGGTAGGATAGACAAGTTTTACTTATTAGCTAGCAAGGGAACAGAAGTGGATGTGGAAAAAGAGTTTTCCGATTCTATGGTTCCAATTTTTCCGGATCAAACTTCTATATTATTTCAATTTTTCTATACAACCGAATATAGTGCAACATATTGTGATGAACCTCATATGAGAAAGTTAGGTAGTTTCAGAGTTAATGGTTTACCTACTGAGAGTTCAGGAAGGGATCGTT